AGTCGTTCGGGCTCCTCGTGGGGCCTCTTGGGGGCCTCTTGGAGCCTCCTGGGGCCTCTTGGGGGCCTCTTGGGGGCCTCTGGGGAGCCTCTTGGGGGCCTCTTGGGGCCTCTTGGGAGCCTCTTGGGGGCCTCTTGGGGGCCTCTTGGTGACCTCTTGGGGCCTCTTGGGGGCCTCTTGGGGGCCTCTTGGAGGCCTCTTGGGAGCCGCCTGGGGGCCTTTTGGGGCCATCTTGGGGCCTCTTGCGACCTCCTCAGAAGCGGAAATGAGCGCTGCCCCTGAGAAGGAGAAAATGACGCCAAAACCTTCGTAAAATCAATAATTTTGCTATGAAGGACGATGAGCGCGGCCCTCTCAGAAGGCCAAAAAGGGGCCGAAACCGTAGTAAAACCAATATTTTTGGCTTCAAAGACGAGTTGATGCGCCAAACGGTCTCCCCCCCTCGGGACCAGAATCCTCGTGAGGGTCGTCGTTTTTTGGCCCTCCCAGGAGTCGAAAAAAGACCCCCTTGACACCACTCCGCCCGCCCTCTCCAGGTCCAGGGGAGGGGGTAGGGGGAGGGGTAAACCCCTCCCCGAAGGGGAAGAAGGGGGGTTGAGGACAGAGCGGGCTCTCTAAACCACTCACGCCCAAAGGGCTGGTGGGATTTACGGATTGCGGGCGAAGTCCTTGTATTGGGCCACAGCAAATCAGTCGTTGTGAACATGCGCAATGACTTTACGATTGAGGCTTCACGGTATGGGTTTCTGGCTCATTTTTTGAAAGCAGGTTCCCAAATCAGTGCTTACACTGGAGGGGGTCCTACCGGACATAGAATATATATATATATATATATATATATATATATATATATATATATATTGATGCGAAAATAATGGGCCGATTTCGGTGGGCGGCTCTCGGTGGGCGGCCTTCGGTTGGGGGCCCCTCAAGAGATTGGGGAAAGTAGCCGGCCGACTTCGGTGGGCGGCTCTCGGTGGGCGGCTGTCGGTGGGCGTCATTTTTTTTTTTTTTTTTTGTTCTCTCTCTCTCTCTCTCGTTTGCTGATGCTGATGTTTTTATCCGGGACGTTGTGGGGACGTATTGTGGCCTTTTTGAGTCGTCGACGGGGCCCTCTCAAGCCGTCGAGGGTGCCTCCGGGGGCCCGGCGGGGCAATATCGGAGACCTCTTAGGCCATTAAGAACCGATGGATGCTCGAAATGGCGAGGATGCCACAACCCTTCCAACACGCAGAGGTAATCAATTAATTCGCCTTTTGGGGCCTCTCTTGCCAAAATGCGGCCGTTTTTTTTTTTTTTTGTTTCTCTTCTCTCCCAGTGAGATGCTGACATATTCCATTGAACAAAGGTTTAACGACAGCGCATATATGTGAAGACGATGTCGAGATTGTAAAGCCCGGCGACTGTGAGTGATACTTGGGAGTGCAGTTCTCTGCTTATGATTTTCATGCGGCCGAACTCACGAATCCATCGTCGTCTGTGTAGAGAGCATTCGCCAAGTTTAAGCGCGTTTTAGGTTCGCGGTCGTACCAACTGAGGAAACGTTTGCGCTTGTTCGAGAGCGTTGTGCGCCCGATCGCGCCCTACGTGCGCGAAGGTTGGACGGTGGATATTGCGGCCAGGGATCTATTCAACATTTCATGGAGAAAGATGCGCTGCAGCACGTTTCGCACGGCCAGGGGCGTGGACGAATCGTACGCAGAGCTATCAAGCGCTCGACCCGGAGGATAAAGAGTAGTGCTCCAATTTTCATGTCAGAACTTCGGCGTCCATTCGAAGTACCCGCAAGTCGGTGTTCGCAACCCGCATTTTTTCCGACGCAGAGATCACATGGAGCAAACGGCTCTTGAATTGGAGGCCGTGGTTCCGGACAGAAACCAAAAGATTTGTAGGGCGACCTCGTCTGAGATGGCGGGATTCGTTGGATGCGTGAGTGGCCCTTTATGCGCGCGTTCAACTTGATGCATTTCTCTGCTACCTGCTATATGCACGTTCGTCCCTCAGGGGACCGTTCCGGCTACCCGACCTGGCGCGCATATCCCTTGTCCTTGTCCTGTCCAAGAGGCCCCCAGCAGGCCCCCGAGAGGTCTTCAATACATTTCAAAGGGGGCGCCCCTACGAGGCCTTCGAGAAGCCTCCTAGAGGCGCCCATGACGCCGACTGGTCTGCCATGCTGGTCTGACCTGTTGGTCAATCGTGCTGCTCAGCCGTGCAGGTCTGCCGTGCTGGTCTACCGTGCTAGTGTGCCGTGCCGCCGTGCTGGTCTGCCGTGCTGGTCTGCCGTGCCCGTTTGTCGCGTTGGCCTCCCATGTTGGTCTGCTGTGCTTCGTGCTGCATCTCGGATCTGTGCCGCGTTCGTTCGAATATCATGGGGTACGTTTGGTGGGGAGTCTAGCACCATAGGGATGGGCAGACCCCTCCCCGAAGGGGAAAAATGGGGTTGCAAAAGAAATCGCGCAACACCACCTGCGCCCAGGGGGCTGGATGGATTCAGCATCGGCGCTGGTATATCCGTGGTCGAAAACCGGCCACGTCCGGCATAATCCCGTCAGCTCCGTTTTAATCCCGTTCAATTTGGCTGAGTCCCCCGCTTAATCTGGCATAGTTTGGCTCAATGGCCCCCCGATCGGGCATAACAGCTTGCATTGAATGCAAGCTGTTGTGCTTGTCGACTTGTTTTCGATTTCGTTCGTGCCAACCGTGCTGCTCGCACCTTTCTCGGAGTAGCCTACTTGGGCATGAAGCATCGCGCGGGCTCGCATGCTTTCGCATCAGATAGTTGCGCCTCTACCAACGCTACGCCATTCATTTTTAGTTGAAATCGTTTATTTTTTGATTGGCGTTTTGTCGCCGAAAGCTTCGCCAGTAGAATGTCACTACTGAGCATTCTGCTGCACCGACGTCTCTCGAAAACTGCCTCCTACCCCAAGGGGAAGCAGGGGCGTTTTTCGTCAGGAGCTCCGGCAGACTGGAGCGGGCGCTCCGTGCAGGAGCAGGGGTCTTGGACGCCGCCCCGGAGCCACCGCAAACGAGGGGCAGAGGGTCTACACCTTAGGCGATGCTTAAGAAAACTTGAATTTTCGGCCAGAGTCTCGATTATTCTTAACGTTTCAATGTAAATCCTAAGATTTTGATAGAAATTTTGGGTTCTTATTCAAGTTCTGAGACCATGAATTTCTTAACCCATGATTTCTTAACCATTTCGCGTGGTGTATTCGAGCCAGCCTCCGAAGGCAGAGCATCGATCGAACGGCGGCATGGCTTGGGTCAGCGTGGTCGATTGTCGGAAAAGCCTGCGGGCGCACGCCCCTGACCCAGGCCAGTGCGAAGCAGGAAGGTGCGACATCACACTTGGGACAAAAGGCAGCAAGTGCCGCGACGGAGAGCTGCACGCTTCAGTCTAAAAAAAGTGAAGGGCCTCAGGCGGGAGAGCGAGGAGGGAGAGGAGGGGGGGGGCATTCGTGAACAGCCAACGCCGGGGCCCAGGGGACGCCTCTGGCTGCTCGCGGGGGCGGTCTTGGGCCCGTCCCCGGTCTCGATGCCCGTGCCCCTGGAGGCGCGACGGCGGCGGGGAGAGCTGGCGAGACGACGGGCCCCCGAAGAGATTAGCGAGCGCTCGTGCCTTCATATGATGTGCACCGTCTTCCTGCCAGGGCCCGTGCCCCCGTCAGGGGGGGAGGAGGAGGTGGTGGAGGAGGAGGAGGAGGAGGAGGAGGAGGAGGGAGGAGGAGGAGGAGGAGGAGGAGGAGGAGGAGGAGGGGGGCCCGAAGCTGGGCGAAGGCCCCCAGTGATCAACGTTGGCAACTCGACCGCAGCCTTCCCCGCGCGTAGCAACCTTGAGCTGGTGAGGGCGGGGGAGTGTCCATGAAGCGTCTCCCGCTACCTGAGCATAGGGCGGGCCGTTGGCATCATCCCTGAAAGGTGCACGGCAGGGCTATCGCGAGCGTCGCCGTTCGCGCCGCGGCAGCGGCGATCGCCGCCATTACGAACCGCATTTGCTGGTGCTGGCAGCAGAGGTTCGTTGGGCCACCCGTCCTGCGTTTCCTGATCCTGGCAGTGATCGTCGTTACTGCTGCTGTGGCCGTCGCCATCTCTGTCGTCGTCTCTCCGTCGTCGTCGCTTTCGTCGTCGTCGTCGTCGTCGTCGTCGTCGTCGTTGTCCGAGGGGACCCTCGGGGCACCGTCGAGAAGCATCGAAAACCGACGTCTTCGTCGTCGTCGTCTTCGTGGCGGTCGTCGTCGTCGTCGTCGTCGTCGCTGTTATCGTCGCCGCTGCTAAGGAAGCCCCTTCGGCTGTAACAGCGGTTCACGCGCACAGGAGTTTTGTGTTGCTGCTGCCGCTGCGAGAGTGTCTTCTCTTCTGTGCCGATCTGCTGGTCTTTTCATGATTGCGATTTCGTTGGGGCCAGTATGGTGTTGCGCATGTATGTATGTATGTATGTATGTATGTGTATGTATATATATGTACGTACGTATGTACGTATGTATGTCTGTGTGTGTATGTATGTATGTATGTATGCATGTATGCATGTATGCATGTATGCATGTATGCATGTAATGTATGTAATTCATGTAATGTATGTAATGTATGTATGTATGTGTGCATGTATGTATGTAATGTAATGTAATGCAATGTAATGTAATGTAACGTAATGTAATGTAATATAATGTAATGTAATGTAATGTAATGTAATGTAACGTAACGTAATGTATGTATGTAAGTAAAGTAATGTATGTATGTATGTATGCATGCATGTATGTATGCACGTATGTATGTATGTATGTATGTATACATGTATGTATGTATGTATGTATGTATGTATGTATGTATGTATGTATGTATGCATGTATGTGTGTGTATGTATGTATGTATGTATGTATGTATGTATGTATGTATGTATGTATGTTTATATATATGTACAGAGATAACATATCTCCTTGTCGAATGGTCCGGCGTGTTTCTTAGTTTTTGTTAAGTCGCCGTCTCGCACCCGCGTTCAGGCAAGGCAAGAAGCACGGCATGGGTAGATTCATTTGGCAGGACGGTTCCATGTACGATGGCCAGTTCCTCGACAACAGCATACACGGGGAGGTCGGGGTGGGGTGGTCAAATGTTGAATTGGCGCTGCTACCGCTACCCCCTCTCGTTTTCGTCTTCTTTGGCTTCCCGTGTGGGTCCCCATCTCAACGACTGGATTTGTCTTGAAATTCTATTTTGAATGCACTCCGGGAGAGGTCCGAGTAATAGTGGTATCGGTGCTCTCTCCTCCAATCTCCTCTGTCTCCGCCTCCTCTTCCTCTTCCTCTGCCCAAATCGAAGGCCCAAAGACCGGCCGCTTTCGCAGGACAAGCCTGCTGCCTAGCGGACTTGCTGGGAAGTGCACGGGGAAGAACTGATAACATGTTGTCGATCCCCTTGTGGGAGCACTTCGTATGGAGACGAGAGCGCCTCTCGAATGCTCGGTTCTGGTTGGCGTCGTGATGGCGGCCCGCTTCCCGCGGCCCGTCTGGTGAGGGAGCTCGCAACGACCAGCGCAGCAGCGGGTCGGCACGACAAGAGCGCACCCTTTGGGCACGCGCCGGTCTGCATGCGGCCCTTCTCCTGCTCCCCGCGGCCGCCTTGGCTCGGGCATGGCGGGGATCTTGCCCTTCTGCCTAGAGTCTAGGGGTAGAACGGGCACAGGTCACGTCTCGGCGGCGAGCGAGGGGTGGAAATGAGAAGGAGACGGCCTTCTCAGAAGGCGGCGGAGCTTCTCAGAAGCCCCCGCGCCTCCTGAGAAGTCTCCTTTGTGTGTCTTCGGGGGGAGGCTCAGAAAACTTCTCCGAAGGCCGGGGGACTTCCGAACCTTCCGAGAAGGCCACCTCCGTCTCGCTTTCCCCCCTCGCCTCGCTCGCCGTACGTCCTGCGAATCACTTGGGGTTGGGGTCGGGCTCCGGGGCCCGGCTCTCCCGACCCACGGGTGCCAGGTCGGATTCTTCCCCCCGAGGGCCGGGCACGCCGAAGGCAAAGTGCTTTGTCGATGTGGTCGATGGTTTGGGACACATCCTGAAGATCACCATCCACCAAACCACCCCAACCCAACCCGAAGGCCCAACTTTATCCTCGATTTCCAGTGGGGGGGGGTCGGGGAACGTTGAAAAAACACGTGGTATCCGTACCCCCCCCAACCCGAAATTCGGGTCAAATTCGGGTCTTCGGGTTGGGTTGGGGTGGTCTGGTAGGTAGTCAGAAGAGGTCGAGCGAGCTCCTCGGGGAACTCTCGGGGGCCTCTTGGGCCTGCTCGAAGCGTGGGAGAGCAGGAAACAGACAACCGAGACAGAGGTAGTGATTTGTGCCTCCTGGGGCCACCGTGCGGGGTCCCATCGAGGCTTTCTTGGGCCGTCTTTGGCCGTCCTGCGGTCAGGTTGCCGCAAGAACGGCCAAGAGAGAGAAAGGAGCGTATTCTGATCCAAAACCTCCAGGTTTTTCCCTCGGTGTTCACTCGGCGGTGGGGGGGGCCACTTCCCCAGGACCGCCGGGGATGAGATCAAGGGAATGGGCTCTATTGGAGTTTATTACGATTTGGAACGGTCGCCCTCGGCCTGGCGACTTTGAAACGCTCCATTCGGCGGCCTCGCAACGCTCTGGGATGCTGGGCTCTGCAAAGCTCTGGGGTGGTGGGCTCCGCAAGGCTGTCGCGAAGCCTCTCACCACAACCAGTCGAGGCATTGTCCCCCCGCATCCCGTTCTCACAGAGCATTCTGCTGGCTGCGGCGGGCTCTGCGCAGCGAGGTCGATGCACGCATCAAGAGGCGCGCCAGTAGAGCGAGCTTAGCACCTACCCCAACGCGTTTCCCGAGTTTTTCTGGTTAACTTGTGGGTCGTTGGTCAGGCTGCTGCGCTCCGTCGGCCTCAAAACAAGAACATGTCGGGGAAGGGCTCGAGGACTCCTGAGGATTCCTGAGGATCCCTACGGACTCCTCAGGGTTGAGGATTCGTGAGGCTTCCTGAGCATTCCGCGGTTCGAAGTTCTGGATTCGAGACTTTTTTTTTTTGTGTGTGTGTTTTTGTTTTTCGGCCGTTGGGGCCCCTTCTCAGGCCCCGGGGCAGTCCGAAGCGGATACGGGGCGCAGAACTACAGATGGACCTCGCGAGGGGTCTGGGGACCGATTTTGAACGGATCTGGTTCCCTCCCCTCTCCTGACCGATTTGCTGGGGCCCCAACCGGTTCAGACCGCCCAGCTGGACGGGGAACATATTCGCCCGCCCCTGCGGCACCCAGCGTCGGACTGCCGGCGCGGAGGCGAAGACGGTTGCCGTTGCAGAGATGGCGTGCGATGTGGCGCCACCGGCCCGCTGGTTGCACGCTGTTCTCCACCCTCGGGAGGAAGCCCTGGCAGGGTGATGGCGTGCACAGAAGGATCCCTCGCAGAGGGATCGTCTCACAGGGGCAGCGCGCACTGAAGAAACCTTACTTTTGAGGATAGCGTGCTTTTCGGAGACCAGTGTGGCACGCTACCACTGCAACGCCAACCGTAGGCTAGCGGCCGATCTTTGGGCGTGGCTCGCGCCTCCTCGAATGCCTGGGGGGGCAGGGCGTGTACATCTGGTGCAACGGCCGCAAGTACGAGGGCCAATGGCGGAAGGAGCCGCCGCGCCTAGTGCTGTTTGCACAGATGTGTGCCCTGCTGTAAACCAGGGCGAAGGGGTTCCAGTCGGACGACTTCACATGAGCGACGCGTAACAACGGGGCCGTCTTCGCCGCGTAAGCTGCCCGCGTAAGGGCGCTTGTAAGCGCCCTCGTGAGCGCGGATGCAGCTGTTCATCCCCTGGCGATAGCGGGCGTGACCGCGGGGGGGGGAAGGGGGGAGGCGGCCGGTCACGTCGCGATTCGCGCTGGCGCGGTTTGGGAATGCTGTGCAATTGCTCATTCCCGGGCGGCGCTGGTGCGAATCCTGACGTGGCCAGGAGGTGGTGGGGAAGGGGGAGGGGCGGTGCCGGTCCCGGGTGTTGTTCAATCGACACGGGCACAGAGAGGCGCTGCTTTCCACTAACGTGTGGGAAAATCTGGGGGATGGCGGGAGAGAGGGCAATCCCAAGCATACTGACAAATATAGGGGATCCTGGATTTTGTGTCGATTCTTGCGCGTCTCCTTGGGCCCCTCTAGTAGGTTATCACGGGCAATCAAACAAGGGCTCTTGCAAGCCAGGGCGATGGGGCACGGGTGGCGCGAACCCACGTGAAGTCGCACGCGTTTTGGCTGGTCCAGTCTGCCGAGGTGTCGCCTTCCTCTCCTTCCAGCCATGGTGCGGGGTCGGTGGGGCCCCTTTTCTTTTTATCTTAGATCCTCCGGCGATAGCGGGCGTTGGCGGGGGCGATGGCGGAGTAGAGTGTGAAAGAGCGCCAGTGGTAGTTCCTAAGTCAGAAGGGTGTGTGTGTGTGTGTGTGTGTGTGTGTTAACGATCCTCCCCCTTTCCCCCCTTCAAAGGGGTTGTTTTTTCTGGCCACCCTCACCCCTCTTTCAAGAGGGGGGGTGCGGGTTGGAAGACCCCCTCCCACCCCTTGGACTGGAGAGGGGACGGGGTTTGACAGAACCCCCCCTTCCTCCACCCCTTGGGAAAAGGGGGGGGTTCCCCCCCCCTCCCCACCTCGATGGCGGTAGAGAAGCGGTGCTCGCGTTGTGGCGCATTGTGTTGTTAGGGGTAGGTTGTTCGGGTTAGGGTGTTAGGGGTTAGGGTGTCAGGTTTCGGTTGATCTGCTTGGGGTGCTTGGGTGAAGTAGCTGATCGTGTTAGGATCATGTTTTTAGGATTAGGGTGTGAGTGTCAGGGTTAGTGTTTAGGGTGCTCGTGCCTGGGTGCTAGGGTCAGGGTGCCCGAATTCAGGTGTCAAAGTTTGGTAAGCATGTCAGGCTTAGGGCTATTGCGCATGATTAGGGGGTTAGGGGCCAGGATTAGGGTGTCAGGGTGTTAGTGCGCTAGAGCGTTGGGGCAGTATGACGCTAGGGTTAGAGGGTTAGTGCTTTTAATTGATGACGTTGCGCGTATCCCCACCAGCCCCATCCAGAACCAGATCGCCAGGCAAGTTGCCTTGATCAGGGACGTGTAGAAGCATGCAGCAGAACAACCGCCTTGAAAGTGATTCTGGGGTGCTGAAACGGTGGGAACGCGTGTTGAATTCATGTAACGAATGTTCCCAGGGCGCGGCGGTTTCGTCGGGGTCTTTTGGGGTCCCTCTTGGAGTTATCTTGAAACCATCTCAGGAAGCCATCTCGGGGCGGGGAGGCTATCTTTGGCAACGGGAGGAAGAGGGAGGAACGGAGAACGGGAGGAGGAAGACCGGACGAAGATAATCAGTGGATGGGGGAGGAAGCAGTAGGCGACGACGAAAGCGACGACGACAACGCTGAGCGAATCATGAAACCGTCGCGGAGCCTCGCTCCAGACCCTGCAATGCCTTGCAGTTCGAGCCATCTTGAGGCCTCGGAAGGCCATCAGAAGTGAAACGGCGAGACCACAAAAAACATTGGTTTCCTTAGGCTGTTCATAGGTTTTTAGCCATTGAAGCTCTTTGTTGGGGCTCTTTGGGGGCGTCTTGAGGCTCCTTTTGGGAGTCTAGGAGGCCTCTTGGGGCCGTCTTGGGCCCCATGGCTCAAAGAGAGGAGATCTTTTGTTTAGGTCCCCCCCCTCGGAGGCTCAAAAAGGGCGTCTTGGGCCTTGGGGCTCTCTTGGGGCGCTCTCGGGGCGCGCTTGGGCGCTCTTGGGGCCCTCTTGGAGCCCTCTTGAGCTCCTCGTGGGGCTCTGTTGGGCCATCTTGGGGCCATCTTGAGGTTTGAAAAGCCCATCGGGAGCGAAAAGGCGAGAAAGCACAACTAATGGAATTGTTGACGCTTCGCGAATCCCCACCAGCCCATCCAGAAACGATGCCCAGATGAATTGCCTCGATCAGGGAAGTGGGCAGCACACAGAGGAAGCCATTCTGAGACATCTTGGGATATCTTGAGCCATCTTGGAGGTCATCTTGGGCTCTCCCAGGCGCTCTGGGAGTCATCTTAATCAGTGCCCCCCCCCAAGAGGCCAACATGTGGCTAAAGCCTTCGTAGAATCAATGATTTGGCATTCTCGCCGAGGCCTCTTGGAGCATCTTGTGTGCCTCTGGGGTGTCTCTTGGGGCCTCGTGGGAGTCTCTTGGGAGCCTCTTGGGGGCATCCTGGGGGCCTCTTGGGGCGTCCTGGCCACCTCTTGGTCTTGGGGCCCTCTTGGGGCACCCTTGGGAGCCTTGGGGGCCATCTTTGGGCCATCTTGGGTGAGATCGATCACAGGAGGGGGGGTACTAATTTCAGCCCCCTCCCCCAGGAATCCAAAATGGGGCCCAAACCCAAGGAGAACCAATGATTCTGGCTTCCTCGCCGAGGCCGTTTTGGACGCCCTGACACCTCGCGATCCCCCCCCTGTCCAGGTCCACGGGGAGGGGATAGGGGGAGGGGTAAACCCCTCCCCGAAGGGGGAAAGGAGGGGTGGAAGAGGAAACTTTCTAAACCACCTACGCCCAGAGGGCTGGTGGGATTTCCCTACGTTTTTGACTGAGTTTGGCTTCTTGGAGGCTTCCTTGGGCGGCTCGGAGGTTCCTTGAAACCGTCTTTGGGCTGTCTTGAGGCTTCTTGTAGGTATATCTGTCGGAGCCTATCTTGAGCCATATTGAGCTATCTTGTGCCACCTTGGAGGCCATCCTGGGATCTCTGAGGCCCTCTTAGAGCCATCTTGGGCCGTCTTGGGCCTCAAACTACGCGCCCCCCCCCCTCCCAGGCCCAGGCGAGGGGGTAGGGGGAGGGGTCAAGCTACCCACCCGCCCGCAAGCCATCTAGCTCACTCCCACCCGCCCTCCCAGCACATGAGTAACACCCGAGCCTGAACACCTTCAGCGCTCCTCTTTGGGTGGGCAGCTCCTGGGAACCAACGCCGACCCTGGGTGCGCGACGCTCGGGCGAGGTGCGCCACGCGGGCCAGGGGCGCCACGCGCGCCAGGCACCCCTGGGGCACGGGCGTGCCAGGCACGCCTGGTGCGCCAGATGTGCCACGTGCTCCGAGTGCGCCAGCTGTGCCGCACACTCCAGCCGCGCCAGGTGCGCCACGTTCGGGGCACGTGCAGAGTGCGCCAGGCTCGCCTGCGCACGTGGCAGCACACATCGGAGCCCACACCATCCTTGTCGAGAACGAATGCCCATCATTGTGTCTGGTGGGCCTGCGCACAGCAGGCCACGCGCCACCACTTGACAGTGATCGCGGGGTGGCCGCGCATGACCCATATTTAGCCGCGAGGTGTATTTTGTAATGTTTTTTTTGTCAGGGATGGTAGCCCTGCGTGCAGCAGGCAATATGATGACACCCCCGCCGTCCCTTTCAAAAACAATACAAAGTGCTTGCGGGCCTCACGAGCATGACTCAAGACTTTGCCCAAAGTGTACTTTGCACTGTTTTTTGAAAAGGATGCTGGGGGGGGGCCACATGGGGTCCTCATTGTTTCTGGTTCGCTGCCGGTCGCCTGGGGGAGGGGGTGTATATCAATGGGGAACACTGATAACCCCTCCCCCGAACAGGGGAAGGAGGGAGCTTTGGCAGAGAGAAGACAAACCTCGTTCAACCAACTAGGCCCAGAGGTCTGATGTGGTTTTGGTGTTCGAAATAGGGCTAGGCTGAGGGCGCAAGAGCTGGGGTGGTCGGATTACGGTGTTAGGGTTGCAGTGCCGTTTTTAATACATGCTCCGCGTGCGGATCATGTATTGAACATGCAGGGATTTAGTTAAAAACGATGAGTTCATGCATAAACTTATTCATACATTGATCATTTTTTTTTGGTTTTAATATGTTCTTTTATTTGAATATCCGATGTATTAAAAACTGCCCTGTAGGGTGACGCGGTAGTAGGGCTTGGGTTCCGGAGCGAGGGAGGGGGGGGGCGGGTTGCACCTCCTCCCCTCGTGCGGGGATTGTCGACCTCCTGCCCCAGGGAGGGGAAGGCCGAGGGGGGGGAGGCTCGGATCCCCCCCCCCCCTTCCATTCTTTGGAATGGGCGAGGGGGGCCAGGCCGATGGACCCGGAAAGGTGTGGGGGGGGATCCAGGACAGAGGTTTGAAGAAGAGAGGGCAGGGATGGTTTTTTGAGTTCAAAAAACCAGTCTCCTAGCACTCGCGCGCCTGCGGGTGGCACGCCAGGTCTGCGAAGCAGGCACGTAGCAACCAGAGTCGTAGTCAGCAGTGCATGGTGAGGGGAAGCATCAACGCAGCGTGCACCTGAACCGTAAGCATTTTGGCCCGTGAGCCGCCTCGCGCGGCGTGCGTCGCAGCCGCCGTGCTATTAGCTCTGATCCTGAGAAAAACAGACTATTTGTGGGGGGTCCAACTCCGCTCTTTCCTCTGGATCAACCAACGGCGCGCCCTCTTCGTTGCGGGGGGGATGGGGACAGCGGGGGCAGCTAGCGTCACGAGTGGTGTGGCACCAGCAGGCCAGCCACAGCTGGGGGAGCTGTGGTCCTGACCCCCCTGGGGGACCCATCGATTTCGACACCCCTCTCGAGAGATCGTCGATGCGATGGGTTCCCCCAGGGGGGTTAAGGACCACGGCTCCCCCAGTTATGGCTGGTCAGACCAGCGCCACCCTGAGCCTTTCCCTGACCTTCCAGGAGGGCTAAAAGATGGCTCCCGACTTAAAAACCTATCCCAGAGCTATTCTACGCCTTGGTTTTAGGCTGTTTCGTTTCGTTTTTTAGGTTTTTAGGCCTCCCGTGCTAAAAAATAGCTCTCTGGAAGGTCAGGGTTCCCGGATGGCGCCGGCGGGAGGGAGGGGGGCGCCCGGGGGCTCGCGGGGGGCCTTGGGGGGGGGAGTGTGCAGGAAGCGGGCTGCCGTGCCAACCGGCGCCTGCGGTGGACTTCTGCGTGGCTATCCCAGCCGTGCGCGGAGGCTCGAGAGGATAGAGAGGCGGCCAGCTTGTCTCGAGTCTCCAGGACCGTGAGAAGACAACTTGGGACGAGAAACCGAGCCCGGGGAAAAGTGGTCGCAAGGTCTGGGGGCCGCCTGCGATCCGATTCGATTCGCTCGTTGGGGCCGCGAGTCCAGTTCGATGCGGTCCGGCTCTGTTCACCAGCATCGGCCAGCGCGGCGATTCGATACCGATCCGATTCGGGAGGATTCGCTGGCGAGTCGATCCGCTTTCGATCCGATCCGATTTCGCGATCTGATCCAGCGCAGACCGCCGCATATCTGAGACCTGGGGCTTTCGCATCCTGATCTGCCCCCTCACTCCCACGACCCCCCTCATCTGGGGGGTCGTGGGCGGGGCTCGCCCAGGGGGTTCCAAGGCCAGCACCTGGTCTTATGATGTTCCAACTTACTTTAGCCTCGATCACCAGGAATAATTCCGAGCACCAAAACGAATACCGAAACTCGAAGGTCTTCACGTGTCGGGCAGTGGGAGACACTCGTCCGACACTGTTTCGACACTGTTTCGACCCTCGTTCGACACTTTTCCTCGGTGCTAGAAATTCTTTCTGGGATGTGGTTCGTACGTACGATGGGAGCAACAGAAGCCTGGTCCTGATCGCGCGCAGAAGTGTTTTCTGCCTGTCTGCCCTCTGGGCGGAACTCCTCCACGTCCGAGCGCTCCCACTGCTCCTCCCCTCGCGCGGCCGCCCTCGTCTCCTTTCCTTCCCCTTGCACGCCCCGGCAGTTCGCCTGTCGGCTGCCCCGATCGGCTCCACGCTGGTGCGGACTGCCTCGGCCCCGCCGCCGACGGGAGAAGTCTACCCTCTGGCGATAGCTCAAAGGGCGTCACCCGACGGGCGGAGGCGGGGAGTGGGCGATGGGGGCCCTGTGACCTCACGATTTGCGCCGACGCCGTCTGGGGATCGTTCCCAGACGGCGCTGGCGTGAAGCATGACGTCAATCACGCCTGGGGGCAGGGGGAGGGGGGGTGCGGCCCCAGTGACGGGCTTTGTCGCGAGTGCTATCCTATCCTGCGCGTGGGGTCGTGGAGAACTCACTGCGTGCGTGAGTGTGTGCGTGTGTACAGTGGGCGTGCGGGCCGGTCCGTGCACTGACAGGTAATGACCCCGTCAGCAGATGGCAATGCATGTGCGACTGCCAGAGGGCATTGCGGGGTTGATCATGTCCGAAATCAATTTTGCGTCCGCGGCCCATGCGATTGGAGAAGCCGTCTGGTGGGCAAACTTAACGTAGTCTTGATTGGGAGTGTCTTCGTTTCGTGGCTCACCTTGACGCTTGCAATTGATTCGGATCATGTTTGTTGCTTGTCAGAACGAGCCCAGCCTCTTTCTGTAGCGGAATATTCGGAATTTCCTTTGGTCCGAAGGAGCGGATGCACGGCAAAGGGAGATACTACTTTGCCAATGGGTGCACGTACGATGGCGAGTACACGAACGATCACAAAAGTGGACAAGGCATCTTCACTTGGGCCGACGGCCGCATATATCCAGATCGCCTTGCGGTGTGTCATTCCCCCACCTCGGTATTTGTGCGATCCGAGCGTTCCGAAGATCGAAATTGGCTTGTCGAGCCAATCGGTGAGAGAGTTGATTGTGGCAGGGGCACTTGCGTTCCCAAATTCCAAGAGACCATGCCTGTTTGGAATGGCATGCGTATGCGTGAGACTTGGGCTCACTTGCGACATATGGTGCTGGCGCGATCTGTTAGGAGGAGGAGGAGGCGGAGGAGGAGGAGGAGGACCAGGGGGTCGAGGCCCTTAGCGCTGAATCAGAGGGGATCTGGTTTTGCCGTTGTGCTTACTCAGCAGCAGAGCTGCGGATAATTATCTGATACCTACGTTCAACCACAAGGAACTGCCGCAGGTACTGCCAATAGTTCCCACTCGCAGCTCGCTTCCGCAAATTCCTTTTGTCCCGCTGACTTCCATGGGGCCATCACGTGGCGCCAAGCGTCCCCCTCCTTCTTTTCCCTTCCCTCCTCCCCCACCCCTCCCCCTGCCTTTCCTTCTCCCCTCCCGCCCCTCTCCCCCTCCCTTTCTCTTCCCCGTAACCCTCCACTTCGCGAAACTCGCCTGGAAGGCCCACCCCCAGCGCGTCCCCTGAGACCCGACGCGGCGACAACATTTTTTAACGTCGCAGCGCGGCAGAGGCAATCCGCACGCGCTCAAATGGGCGGGGATATGGTACCACTTCTTCACGCTTCGCGTATTCCCACCAGTCGCCTTAGGACGCTGCTGCCTGCCGCTTGTCCGCGGCCTCGCGCGCGCCCGCCGCTAGTCGCGGCCGCAGCCCGCCCGCGACCGCCCGCCGCTGGCGCTTCCGCCTGCGGCTGTAAAACAAACATATTCCCACCAGCTCCCCTTTCCTGCTTGCGGCTTTCTGCCGCCCCCCCTGGCACGCGCACTTCCTGCCTTTGGATACAAGTGTGCGTGCCAGTTATATCGTCCACACGGCAATCTCGGTTGCGTGTGGACCCGGGGCCCCTGGCCTCACTGTAGTTGTTTTCACCTGCTAGGCCCAGCCTGGCGTGCGGTTGTGGGCGATCCGGCGGTTTTCGCCTGTCCATTCTACGGCCTTCAGCCGTGCCCCTGGAACGATGTGGCTGTGAGGGGCGCGTCTTGGGTATACGGCGGTCCCGTCCCTCGGGTGCTCCCATACGTAGGCGTGTGGGTGGCGCTGGGTCGCATTGATCGGCGCACTTCTCAGCGACCAACGAGTTCTCACCGTGGGGCTTCGTGCACTTTGCTGCGTTCTGACCAGATCGCTGGTCCCTTGGACGCAGGCGCATCTCAGCAGTGGAAGGTTCTTCCTCGGGCGATTTAGGCTTCCACTCCCTGGATGCGAGTTCTGACGTCGCGACGGTTCGCTGGCGCCGTCAGTTTATTTTTCCCACTGGACTGCGTCACCAGTGTCAGTCTGCCCATACCCGTCAGACTCCTTGGAGTGACGTCCCGCACGGAAATCGTTCCCTACCTCTGTTCGTCCTTTTCGGTCACAGTGGGAACGCCTAGCGCGCCATTTTGGCTGCGGTCGGCTCTCCTCGGTGGCTGACCTCTCAGACTCCCTGGATGTGCCGTTGCATGTTCACCTCAGGGGCTGCCCGGCAGACTCCCGGGAATTGCACGCCTCGGCTTCTCTGACGCCCTGGGTTGCCGCTGCCCGCCGCCTGACCGCGGCCCCGCGCGCGCCCGCCCCCTCGTCGCGGCCGCAGCCCGACCGTGACCGCCTGCCGCTGGCGCTTCCGCCGGCGGCCGTAACTCGCGTTTCCTCTGCCTAGTTCGTCTCTGCGTAGCCCGCTTTGACCTGACTCGCCGCCGGCGCGCTCGCCCGCGGCCGCTGACTAAAAAGTATCCCCAGCAGCCTTGTTGCTCGTTGTGCAATATCCTGGACGTCGCCCGACCTTTCTTCGCCGCGGTCGCGATCAAACAAGTATCACCACCAGCCCATTCAAAAGCCCTGCCCACGAGAGCTGACGGGAAAGGGGACGAGGGGATGCAGCTAGGGAAGCAAAGCGAGCAACCAGGATGAACCGAGAGATCTCTGGGAGCAATGGGGGTGGCCTTGGAAGGCCTCATCGGGCCATCCCTGGGGGCCGCGTCGGGGCGAGGGGAAGAGGAGGAGGAGGAAGAGGACGAGGAGGTGGAGGAGGGGGAAGAGGACGAGGAGGAGGGGAAGAGGACGAGGAGGAGGAAGAGGACGAGGAAGAGGACGAGGAGGTGGTGTTGCTGCTGGTGGTGCTGCTGATGTTCTTGCTGCCTCTGCTGGTGCTGCAGCTGGTGCCCTGAAAGGCCTGTTTGGTGCCATCTAGGAGAGCATCGATCAACATATGGGGGGTCCTCGATTTCGGCCTCCTCCCAGGAGCCTTCGAAATCGCCTCTTGGAGCTCTCCTGGGGCTCTTTGGGAGGGTATCGGAGCTTTCTCGGGGCTCTTTTAGGGGTCTTGGGGCCCTCTTAGGGCCCTCTTGGGGCTCTCTTGGGAGCCCTGGAAGGCCTCTTGGGGCCATCTTGAAGGCCATCGATCAAAGGAGGAGATTGTATAACGTCACCCCCCCCCAATAGGCCAACATTGGGCCAAAACCTTGGTAAAACCAGCGATTTGGGCGCCCAAAGGGCTGGTGGGATAAAGCCCTCGCCGGGGCCGTTTTGGGACGCCCTGACACCTCGTGGGGGGGGGCCGGGAAAAGTCCAAGGGAGGGGCAAGGGGAGGGGTAGAGTTTTTTCTTGTTTGTATTATTTGATTGTTCTTTTTTGGAAGAGGGAAGAGGAATCTCGTTAGACCACCTGCGCCCAGAGTGCTGGTGGGATTAATTGTCCGGTTGCAGGAGGGGAGAAGGATACGGAGTGCGGCTGCGGGCGAAAGAAGGAGGGCACTCGCTGCACGAAGACCTTCGTTAGAAGCGGCTGGTGCGGCCAGCCTGTGCTGAGGCAGCCTGGCAGTGGACGCGGAGCGGCATCACGGCCACACCCAGGGGCTGATGCAGAGGCTGCAGGCGCAGAAGGCGTATACCAAGTCGAACCATTGTGGGAGGAGGAGCGGTGAGCGAACCCACAGAAGCGGGCAGCACCAAGGTGTTCGTCGGAAGGCAGTGGGCGACAGGCTTTGCTGCAGGCGCGGCGCCACGGGGTTGTGGGAAAACCCAAGTGACCACGGGGGTTGTGCCAGCGACCGGCTCGCTGCAGCAAGATGTTGCAATACTGCCATGCCGAGCTGCTGAGAGCAGAGCTGCAAGTCTGCCAGCTGCACAGCTGCCGAGGGCTGCAAAGCAGGGCTGCAGTATTGCTGGGGGGCTGCCGAGCTTCAAAGCGCCAGCTACTGAAGTTGCGCAGCGCGGCGAGGACGAACGCAACCGAAAGGGAACACCCAGGCGGCGGGGCGGGGCGGAAGGCGGGGAGGGGGAGGGCCGGCTGGCCTGGCAGGCGCACGCATCACAGCCAACGGGACCAGGAACGCCCAGCCGCAGGAATGGCCAGGCGCGGGCGCCCGGCGACAGGATCAGCGGGGCAGGCAGGCGGATCCGCCAGCCCTGCCGTCGCGCGCAACCAGCCAGGTGGGGCAGGGGCGCCCGGCCACAGGGCTGGCCAAGCGGGGGCCCCCAGCTTCCAGAGCAATGGGGCAACCACCTGGAGGGGTAAACGCTCCAGCCAGGTCAAAATCAGGGGGAGGGAGAAGGTGGGGAGGAAAAGGGAAGGCAGACATTACCAGCTATGCGCGAACGGCGGAGGTCCAGCCGAGCCAGGCGATCGGCCAGCCCAGCCCGAACTCCAGCACGATCCCACTGCCCAGGTCCATGCGATTGTCCTTGGCCGCTGGACTGCTGGCGGCTGGCGGTCTGGCCGCCACGGTGTCTTCCGAGTGCCACGGTTTCATCATCGTCGTCGGGGACCAGAGTCGGTCATGGGAAGGGTCTGGGTCAGGGGAGGTCGCTGCACTGGTGACTGGTGACGTGCCGTACCGGACCCGCCAACGGACCCGCACAGTTCCCCGCCCGCCGCTAGCTGCTGGAGGGCCTGGTGCGCTGCCCGAGCGACTGGGCCCTTCTGCGTCGGGGTCGTCCTTTGGGGGGGGGAACCCCCTCGCATTGAGAGGCCCCCAGGCCCCGAGATACGCCGGGCAACGCAGGACGGTAGTGGATTGGGGCGTCCGCCCTCGAGTGTGCAGCCACCACGTTCAATCCGCCAGACCCGCGAGACGCCAGGCTTGCCACCTGGAGGGGGAGGTTTCGGGTCATGGTTTCCGCCCAGTGTGTTGGGGACGCGACCGATTGCCGCACGTACTTGCAGTGACGAGGCGCCTCCTTTTGGGGAGGGCAGCTGCCCCGCTTCCTCTTCATGACCCGCCCAAAAACCATTCCGTGGAGGGAACGGCCCACAGTCGGGAGGATCGTCCGGCGCGTGAGCGCACCAAGCAGCCGCGCCCACGGCCGTACCAGGTTCGCGCTTGGCTGCTTCAGGGAACAGGCGGTCCACACCGGGGTGACTGCCACTCCTGCGGGGCAGCCTGGGAGGGCTACCCCGAGGTCCAGCCGGTGCCGCGGGCGGTGTCGTTTCGTGAGCATGCAACCGAGCCAGGCACGCGACCGATCGTCGCACAATCTGTATAGGGGTGTCGCGGGTGCCCTCCTTTCCGCGGAGCGACCTTGAGGGGCCACCTCGAGTCCAGACAGCATCCCAAGCGACGCCGCGCGTTGAGCTTGTGCGCCAGGCGTGCAGCCGCTCCCTCATTTCCTCGGGTTCCGAGATGGCCGCAGCACCCTGGACCGCTTTCGACGAGAGTTCCGACCAGCGAAAACATGCAACACGTTGGGAAATCACGGCTGGAGTCCCGGACCCCATCTCTTTGTACAGTCTTCGGAGCCAGATCGCTCTGTGAGGCTTCCGCGGCCCGATCCCGGCGAACACGCCCGCCTCGAAAGAAGTTGGACGCCAGGATTTCAGGATTTGTGCAGCCTCCCCTTCGGGTGGGGGTGGGCGGATTCGGGCGAGTGGAGAATGGGCAAGCAGCACGGGTACGGCGTGATGACCAACTCCGACGGCCTGGAGAAGCGTGGCCTGTGGGAGGAGCCCCCACGCCGGCTCTCAGTGTGCGCTCCTGTCCTCGTCCTCTCCCCCGCTGCCAATCAACCCGCGAGGGGTTCCTCCTCCAGTGTGTGTGTGTGTGAATATAGATGGAGGATGTTTCTATGTTAGGCAGCGTGGGCCTCAATCAGTGTGCTCTGGTCTGCTGTGTGGTGCAATATATGTGGTGCAACATGCATGTACGTAGGTATGCATATATGCATGTATGTATGCATGCATGCATGCATGCATGTGTGTTTGCATGCATGCATGTATTCATGTATGTATGTATGTATGTATGTATGTATGTATGTATGTATGTATGTAGGTACGTATGCAGGTATGGGTGTGCGTATGTATGTATGCATGCATGAATGTACGTTTGCACGCACGTACGTACGTACGTGCGTATGCATGGATGTACGCATGCATGCATGCATGTATGTCTGTCTGCCTGTCTGTCTGTCTGTATGTATGTGTCTTGTATGCGTGTATTTATGTATGCATACGCGTATGTATGTATGCATGCATGCATGCATGCATGTATGTATGTATGTATGTATGTATGTATGTATGTATGTATTTGTGTATGTGTGTATGTGTGTATGTATGTGTGTATGTATGTGTTTATGTATGGTTGCATGCATGCATGCATGCATGTATATATGTATATGTGTATGTATGCGTGCATGCATGCATGCATGCATGTATGTTTGTATACATGTATGCATGTATGCATGTATGTATATATGTATGTATGTATGTATGTATGCTCGTACGTAAGTACGTACGTATGCATTGATTTATGCATACATGCATGCACGTATGCATGCATGTATGCATGTGTGTATATGTGCATGTATACATGCACGTGTGTAGTTGTGGTAGTTTCCATTTTCGCATATGCAGCGGATGAAGCGGAACACGAGTACGAATACGAGGAGGATGTGGAAGGATAAGTGATTGTTTTTTTTAATATACAGCTCACGGGGGAAGCTCCCGCCTGAGAGGTTCCAGAGAAACTCTAGGGGGAGGAGGCTCCCGCCTGAGAGGTCTCAACACGACTCTCGGGGGAGGAGGCTCGCGCCAGAGAGGTCCCAAACAAGAAGGGGGAAACGAGAAAAGAGGGAGACAGCGAGGAGGAGAAGGGAGGGAGGAGGGAAGGGGCAAGGGGGAGGGAGGTGGCTGGAGGAGGAGAGAGACTGGCAGCATGAGAAGGGGAAGAGAGAGGAGCAGGAGAACACGAAACGGACATGGGCGGCCGGGTGCGGCGCGCGGGGCGGCCAGACCCTGGTGGGCGAGAATCGGGCAGGCGGGGCATGATCGCGGCAGCGAGTGGTCCCTGCGGGCCCTGGCGGGCGGGTCGGTCGGGCGGGCCCCGACAGGCGGGTCGGGCGGGCCATTCAATTCTTGCGTAAATCGCGAGGAAATCTTGGTCGAGATCGCGGTTCCTGGGCAAGCTGCGAGGAAGTCCCGAGGCCCATCGCTTCTCTTGGGCACCTTGCAAGGAAGTCTCGAGCGAGAGCGCGAGTCATTAATACATAGCAAAGGACCGTCCTGATTAGATCGTGGGCGAGAGCGTGATCACTGAGTGTCGAGGGCGCGGCGCTTGAATACATTGGGAGGAAGTCTCACGCGAGAGCGCGATTCCTGGGTAAACTGTGAGGACGTCTCGCATGCATCAGGTCCCCCGCGTGTCCAATGTGCTGGTGGATCTGTGCACATATACCGCACCTGGCCAGGCCCATCCTCGGCCTAGGAACAGCGTGCATGTGTTTATGTTTGATATATATATATGTATATATACATGTGTAAATGTATGTATGTGTGGATGTATACGTATATGTGTAGGTATATGTATATTCATGTATGTATGTATTAATGCGCATATGCATGTGCATGTATATGTATATGTATGGGTGTATGTATTTGCATGCATACATGGGTATGTTTATGTATGTGAATATGTGTATGTGCATGTGCATCTAAATATGTATACATACATGTAATACTGCACATGCAAGTGCATATATATATATGCTCATTCACATGCATGTGTCTATGTACATGGTCATGTTCTTGTATATGTATATGTGCAGGTGTATGCAATTTTCTACTTAGATGTGTTCGTTTTTATGTGTATGTAGACGTACACGTGTATGTATGCGTAGGGGTCTATGGGTACGTATATTTAGATGTGTACGTATAGGTCGACTTATATGTTGGTGTATGTGTTTGTATATACATGTACGCGTATGTATATGTACGTGTATATGTATATGTGGTTGTATATGTGGATATATATGCACGTATTTGTGTACATATACGTAGATGTGTATGAAGACGTGCATGTACTTGAAACTGTATGCGTATGGGCATTTGTGTATGCATGCGTGCATGTAGATATACAGGCATATATGTATATGTACGCCCATATGTATATGTAGCTGTATGTGTACGCTTCGACTTATGTATGTATGTCGATATGTAACTATACATAGATGTATATGTACAATCATAGATATATGTTCATGTATCTATTTTCGCATGTATGTATGTGTGTGTATGAATGTATGCAGATATTTATACACATGTGTATACATGTATGTACGTAGAGGTTTGCATGCATGCGTCTGTGCAGGTGTTTATGTATGTGCATGTGTATGTGACATTGCATGTGTAATTGTATGTATGTGTATGTACACGTGCATGTTTATTTATGCATGCATGTCTGCTGTATGTACGTATGTAATGTATGTATGTATGTATGTATGTATGTATGTATGTATGTATGTATGTATGCAGGTAGGTCGGCAGGTAGGTATGCATGCATTCAGGTAGGCAGGTCGGTAGGCAGGTCGGTAGGTAGGTAAATCGGTAGGTAGGTGGGTCGGTATGTATGCATGTATGTATGTAATTCATGAATGTATGCATGCATGATTGTGTGTATGCATGCATGCATGCATGTATTTCTATGATTCTTTCCACCTACATCTAGAAACAACGCTTTTCTGGCTGGGCCAGTTGCTATGTATTCATGTATGTATGAATGTATGCATGTATGTATGCATGCATGCATGCATGCATGTATGTATGTATGTATGTAATCCATGTATGCATGCACGTATGTGTCTAATGTTCTACGCCTGCATCCAGACATAACGCCTCCCTGGCTAGGCCAGGCCGGCGCACAAGCCGCTCCTGGGGCCCCGTGCCGGGCCCGGCCAGGGGCGGTGCACGCGCGTGTGCAGCTCTCGCCGCCCCGTGCTGCTCCTCCCTCCGAGGGCGTCGCCCGCCCCCCGCCGCCTCTCCTCATGAGGAAGATCCGACGCCATTCCGACGTGAACCCGACGTACATCCGGCGTGGGTCCGCCGTGCATCGGGTCCGAAGCTGCCGCGCGATGCCTCCGGGATTTTCCTCCTCCTCCTCCTCCTCCTCAACCTCCTCCTCCTCCTCGTCCTCCTCCTCCACCTCCTCCTCCTCCTCCTCCTCTTCCTCCCCCAGGATGGCCGCTGGGTCGCCGACCACCCTGGCCACCGCTGAGCGGGCCTCGCCGACCGCCGGCCTCGGCCTCGACAGCCCGCGGCCACTCCCTCCGCTGATGCAGCGCGACGGCTCCGCCGCCGCTGCCGCTCTCCTGCCCTCGTCGCACTCCTCCTCGGCTCGTCGTCCTCCTCCTTTGGCACTGCTCCTGCCCCCCCGCCCGTCCCTCCCTGGATCCTCCTCCGGCCTCCCTCCTCCTCCTCCTCCTCCTCCTCCTCCTCCTCCTCCTCCTCCTCCTCGCCTCGTCCTCCTCTGGCACGCCTCCTGCCCCCCCCCGCCCGTCCCTCCCTGGACCCTCCTCCCTCCTCCTGCCCCTCCTCCTCCTGCCCTGGTGTTTGGGAGACTCGGGGCATGCGGGCGCTTGAGGGGGGCGGCCTGGCGAGGGTGCGGCGGGACTCAGGAGGGAAAAAACACACAGACACAAGTAATCGTCGATCCCTCAGAAAATATGGGAAAATATGGGAAGTGGGGGGGAAGACAAAACCCAGACAATATGGGAACATATGGGGAATATTCTTATTCCCTACCTAGGCTCTGCCTAGAGGGTTCTTACTTTGTTTGCTTAAAGGGGCCGGGCAGTGTAGTCCGCCCCGGGCGGTTCCCCCAGTCCCCGCCCCGCGGTTCCCCCAGTTGCCCCCCCTGGGTTCACCCAGCTTAGCTTAGCTTAGCTTAGCCTAGCTTAGCTTAACTTAGCTTAACTTAGCTTAGCCTAGCTTAGCTTAGCTTATCTCATCTTAGCTTCGCCTAGCTTAGCTTAGCTTAGCTTAGCTTTGCCTAGCCTAGCCTAGCTTAGCTTAGCTTAGCTTAGCTTATTTCATCTTAGCTTAGCTTAGCCTAACTTAACTTAGCTTAGCTTAATTGTTGACGCTTCGCGTATCCCCACCAGCCCATCCAGAAACGATGCTCAGGGGAGTTGAGGTGATCAGGGAAGTCGGGGAGCATGCAGAATAACAAAGGGCGGGGGAAGCTGTCACAGACCCCGAGAGGGGGAGGATGGAAGAGGAGTCGTCGTCGTCGTCGTCGTCGTCGGAGGAGGAGGAGGAGGAGGGGGAGAGAGGAGGAGGAGGAGGAGGAGGAGGAGGACGGAGAAGGAGGAAGAATCGGAGGAGGAGGAGGAGGAGGGGAAGGAGCTTCTTGGGGGTCTTTTGAGGGCCTCTTGGAGGGCTTTTTGGGCGCCTTGGGGCATCTTGGGCGCCTCTTGGGACCCTCTTGAGGCGCTCTGGGGAGCCTTCGGGGCGCTTTTGGGGCCATCTTGGAGGGAGTCGATCAAACAAGAGGGGGGGTTCAATTAGCGCCCCCCCTCGGAAGCCCCTAAAATCGCCTCTTGGACCCCTCTTGGAACGCTCTTGGAGTGCTCTTGGGCGCTCTTGGGGCCGTCTTGGGGCTCTTTTGGGGCTCTCTTGGGGCCCTCTTGGGCCATCTTGGAGCCATCTCCAGGCCTCGGATGGCCATCGGAAGCGAAAAGGCGAGAAAGCAAAAATCATTGATTTTCCTTAGGTTTTGGGACGATTTTGGCCTCTTCGGGGCCTCCTTGGGGAGCTGTTTGGCCACTTGGAGTTATCTTGGGGCCGTCTTTGGGCTTCTTGGAACCATCTTAGGAGCCATCGTGAGCGATCTTGCGCTATCTTGAGCCATCTTGGAGCTCATCTTGGGTTCTCTGAGGCGCTCTTGGAGCCGTCTTGGGCCATCTTGGACGCTCTAACTACCCGCGGCCCCCCCCGTCCAGGTCCAGGGGAGGGGGTAGGGGGAGGGGTAAACCCCTCCCCAAGGGGGAAGAGGGAGGGGTGGAAGAGGATCTGCTCTAGACCACCTACGCCCAGAGGGCTGGTGGGATTTAGCTTGGCTTCGCTTAGCTTAACTTAGCTTAGCTTAGCTTAGCTTAACTTAGCTTAGCTTCGCTTAGCATAGCTGGACTTTCCTTAGCTTAGCGCAGCGCAGCATGCCGCAGCGCAGCATTAGCACAGCATAGCATACCATGTCATAGCCAAGCACATCATAGCATAGCATAGCTCAGCATCTCATACCATAGCACATCATAGCATAGCATAGCATAGCATAGCGCAGCACATCATAACATATCATATCATCGCATATCATTGCTTAGCATAGCACAGCGCTGCACAGCATAGCATAGCATAGCACAGCATAGCACAGCATATATCATAGCGCATCATAGCATAGCATAGCCTAGCGCAGCATAGCATAGCGCAGCATAGCATATCATAGCATGGCATAGCGCAGCATAGCATAGCACAGCATAGCGCATCATAGCATAGCATATCATAGCCTAGCACAACGCAGCGCAGCCGAGCGTAGGTGTAGATGTAGATGCAGACGCGAGTCTCGCTGTTGATGTTGATGTAGATGTAGATGCAGGTGTAGATGTACATGTAGCTGTCGGTGTAGATGTAGATGTTGCTTTCCTAAATGCTCCAACTCCTAGATAGGGTCGCACTGGGATCATTTGTGTGTATGTATTTTTGTGCCCTGGGGCCCCTTCAGGGACGTGGACCATCTCGGCTCCAAGCACATGGCGCTTGGCGCCGAGCAGAAGCGCCCTCCCGGGCAGTCGGGGGCCACGTTAGGTCGGAACTGAAGCAACCGGGGTCAGCCAGAGCGCCGGTTCTCGCAGGATTTTGCAGGGCCAGAGTCGCGCTGACCCGGGTCTGGGTGCAGGATCCTGCCGGATCTTGCAGGATCCTGCAAGGCCAGCATCGTCCCGGGTCTGGGTTGACCCGGGTCAGTAGATCCCCGATCAGGGGGGGATTGGTTCAGGGGGGAATGCATCGACCCCCACTCGTCCATTCATCCAAGGCCGTCTCGGGTCTCTCCAGAAGCTCTCTTGGGCCGTCTTGGAGGCCTCTTGGACCGTCAATGGGTCCTCTCGGGCCGACTTGGGACACTCTTGGGGGCTGGGGCCGTCTGGGGGCCATCTCGGAGACTTCTTGGGCCATTTTGAGCTGACGGAGCCCCGAAAAGGCGAGAATGCGAAACTATATCACACACCTAAGCTGAATTAGTGGTTTGGACATCTTCGGACTCTGTTGGGATCCTCTTGTGACATCTTGGAGGCACGTTGAGGCAATCGTAGATGGAGGCAATACTGGGCCGACTCGGAGGCATCAAGGGCCTTCTTGGCGTCCTCAGCCTCGGTTGCCTACCTGAGCCTTCTTGGAAGCTTGGGAGCGCGGATCCACAGTATCAAGGGCTAACAAAATCGCCACTACCCTGGTTTACGAGGCGCTGTGCGCTGAACCTCCTGTGGGCTGACAGGTAAACGCTGCGTTTCGCGCGGCGTCCTAGCGGCGTCCTAGCGGCTCTCTGGCCTTTGGAAGCTCCCAGGAGGTGTACAGACCACGCACTTGTAACCCAGGGTAGGGCCATTTTTCCATCCCTCAACAGTGGATGTACGAGTGTGTGAGGGATCGTGGCCTCGGGAGCGCGGGGCGACAGGTTTCTTACGAGGGACCGCGGCCTCGGGCACGGTGGCGATGGATGCAGCGAAGCGTGATGCTTGGCGTCGCTCGGACGTGTGCATTGTCTCTCGGCGAGGACCATCGAGGAACATCTCTGATCATTTAGCGGAACATACACGCACGACATCCAACAATGCACGGGGAAAGGACGTCCGAGCGATGGCGAGAACGAGGAGGGGACAGCAGAAAGCTTTCCAGGCAGCCTTTCACGTTCGAGCACGCCTCGACGCGCCATGGGGGGACCACGGCGGATGCCGTTGTCGGCATCAACACCAGCAGAGACAAGTTCAGAGTCACCGTCATCAGATGAACCCGCACCATCAGCAATACATTGGAAGCATGTTGGCCAGCAGAGTCATTAGCACGTGCATCAGTTCACGCATCAGTACCGATCGTATCATCGGCATCCGCACCAACGTGAGAGTCATCATCAGTAGAGCAATCATCAGCATCATCACATCTTGGCAGCTCATCTTGTGTCCATTGAGGATAATGCTAGGAGCACGATTCGTCTTGGCGTCACAGGGTCATGTTGGGGTCGTGGACTCCCATTAGGGTCACATTGGGGTCATGTGTGGTCATCTTGGGGTAGTGGGGTCATCTTGGGGCCATCGGATGTTTACTTGTTGAATGGGACATGTTGGTGCCACGGGTCCCCTGAGCAGAGTTGTGGCTAAGATCCAATCAGGGCTGCATCCAGCTGTAGTAGGGTCATCCGCGGATTGCAGGCAGCTCTGACGGGATTCTATTAGAGCTTAATTCTATTAGAGTTGCAGCCAGTTGTACTAGGACCCTTATCAGGGCTGTGCCCAGCTGTAGTAAGACGTTGAAGACCATCATCGGGTTCCAAAGGAACCGTGGCCAAGCTAATCGGATTTCTCTGGGTCTCCTGAGCAACTCCTCTAGGAGTCGCTCAGGGGTCCCAGAAGATCAATGTTTCATTCTGTTTCCTTTCACTTTTATGCAAAGGCCTCCGCTGCGTTGCTTTGCGGGTTGGGGGGGCGGGATGACGGGGCCCCAGTCCAGGTGTTCACCCTAGTAGACAGTATGTGATCTGCGGCGCACCCGAGCTTGACTGGGCTCCAGTCTGGGCGTCATCCTTGAATACTCATTTCTAAAGAATAATTATTGTTGATCTCCGGAAACGGTTCCGCGCTCTCTCGCCTCGACGCTGGCTACGTTTTCTCTGAAAAAACCGAGGCTCCCGCTCGAGCGTTGGCTTGAACCTAAATGTGGACCGTTGGAGGCCCAGCTACGACAACAACGGCTACCGCGCGATACTTCCTCACAATTTACCCCGAGACACCCGAACTCAGGAACGGCGCTCTCGCTCGAGATTTCCTCGCAATTCTATTAAGTTGGCGGAGGCCCAGCCACGACGTCAAGGGCTCCTGCTCGATACTTCCTCACGATTTACTCCGAGAGCCCCTGGCCAAGAAGGCGCCCGAACTCAGGAACGGCGCTCTCGCTCGAGACTTTCCCATAATTCAGGCAAGTTGGTGGAGGCCCGGACACGGCGACAAGGGCTCCCGTTCGATATTTCTCAATAGGTATTCCGAGAGACCCTGACCAGAGAGGCCCCCGAACTCAGGAGCGGCGCTCTCGCTCGAGATTTCTTCGCACTTCAGTCAGTGGCCGACAAGGAAGAGATTCACCCCGAAAGGGGGTGCAATCGAAAACGAA